AACTCAGATTTCTGTAAACTATCGCGTTACTTCACAAATTGTTTCCGCGGTCACACCCTCCTACACAAATTTGTTACGCCTGTGTGCTCTTATCGCCAACAGTGTATCGACAACAATCGAAAAACTTACAATTGTTCCTAATATAAACTCTTTTATTCTTTAAATAAAATAAAAAATATTAACTCGCCCCGTTACTATGAATCTAGTGCAATCTAAAGTCAAAGCCAAAATGTCCTAATTCAGTATAGGCTTATTTTAATCTCTCATTAAACGTTAAAAAAGTACCACAGGTTCCCTAAACTACGACCTGTGCAGAAAAGAACCGCCTCAAAACTCTGCAGTCCTTCTGTCTTTGTTTTTAATTATATAAGTTTACAAAATTATTTAAGTTTAAAATCGGCAACAGCCAGCGGACTTGCAAGAGTCATTTCCACACATCCTTTTTCTCAATGTATTCTTAATTTTAATCCAATTAATCTAATTTAGTAGCACCAAGATAGCTACGATTCTCAATAATATCAAAGGTCCGAAGACAAAAATTATAATTGTAGGCAGTAATAACAAAGTAAACATATCAATAAATGAATAATTTAAAAATAACCCTACATCAGTATTAAAATATTTTAATGAAATCACATCGAAAATAACGAAACAAAATGTAAAAAAATCACATTGAAGTGAAGAACACACAGTGTCCTCCGAGAAATTCTTATGAGATAACAAAATGCGATCTCCGAAATTGGTCGGTCCTTGTTGGCCAGATGTGAGGGGCTATTTTAAACTCGTAATAACCGTTGTCGACACGTGTGTGACGACCATTACCACATATTACAAAAAATGGAGGAAAAACAATAAATGCTCGAAGGGGGAGGGCCGGAGGACATAGAAGTGGACGCGGTTTAAAATTGATTCTTAAAATGCGGCAACATTTTCTATTATTGCCTCTTTGTTTGTGAGTGCAACACAATTTATAGCGATCGCTGCAATTGAACCAATTTTTTGACCACCTATTAATTTTTTATCTATGGATTGAATAAGATTTTAACATCATGACCACAAAATTGGTTGGAGTGTTACTTGCAACGATTTAGTTAGGCCTAGTAAGATTTTAGTGGGAATTACCGAATGTATATTAGATCGTATGCTACCAAATTTAAAATTTGGAAGATTGATTCAGTTCAAATAGTGAAAAAAAATTATTAATAGCTTATTCTTTACGACTATAATCAGATTATAAATAAATATAAAAGTACATATCAATGATTAACATAACTTTTGTATGTAGGTGAAAAAATAATAGTAAAGGCAAACGTTTAAATTTTTCAAGAATCAAAAGTTCTCCGAAAGGCCATCTATCATAGAATAAATCTATGATATATTCACCACAGAGGGCGCATTATCGCTATTCCTAAATCAGCTATCAACGGACTCTTTTCACTAAAAGGGTGAGCCACACTATAGAAAAGGTTGACCCTTCATAAAGACTTATCACTTCATATACAAAATAAGGTTCTACTAATCCCAGCGGTGCCAAACGAAACGCACCGCTAAGGAATTATGCTTTAAAGATCAATTTACAACATTCCTAATGCCGAATATGGAATCCCATGGAACTTTGTAGTAGTTTTTTCACAACAATCTTCTCTCGGACTTAACTTACCTTATCTCGCCTACGAACGCCACGAGGAATAGAAAACCCACACATACATAACAAGGGCAATATTTCTAAAGAAATTTAAATTCGCCCGCAAAGGTCCTGAGATAGGATTAAAGATTGGGCGTGGAGATGGCCCTTTGTGGCCGACCCTTAAGAAAACATGTCTTGATATGGAAATATCTCGGACGGAACTTCGCCGCGGAATCATTTACGATGGCGATAACAGAAACAGAGAACAAACGAACGCTGCTATACGTATTTTATGAAATTTTCGTATGAACAGCGAAGTATGGGTACCCTATCATGTTAGTAGTTATTTCACATGACTGCGTGTGAAGTACATCATTGTGTGACGCAGTCTGACCGATGGTTTATCGACGCGGCGCACCGTACATGCTCGAGTGTAATGGATAATTTTTATCTGTGTTCAATGTAAAGGGTTGTTGATATCGCCTAAATCGCCATGACAACGACAATTGATATATGATAGAGTTGTTAAAACCTTCAAAAATAATAACGATCTTCGAAGGTTACAATCATCAAAAATTAAAAAATAATCATATCAAATTGCGTGAGGTCATCGACAGCTTAGCTTAGTTGGTAAAGCGTCTGGGCGCGAAACCAGACGACGCAGGTTCGAATCCCGCATCGCGGAAGGTTTTAGTTCACTTATCTACAAAATTTTTATTTTAAATTCTTTTGCAGTAAAATCGCGCTAAGTAGTGGTATGAATAAGGGAAAAAAACCCTAATATGGTTTATAACGAAGTAAAGTGATCGTTTTATGAATAATATATGTTATATAAAATCCATTAAATGTTTAATTCGAATCATCATAATCCGAAATCGAAACATCCAACGAGTCCTACAATCCTTCATTAATTTTTAAAGTAAACCAAAGTGAACAAACACTGGACCCGGTGTGCACTTGATTCAATATTTATATTGATACAAATAAGAGACGGCCATCGCCTGCGCCGCGTTTTGTCATGTTAATGACTGTAACAATGACACCTTGTGGACACTATCTTATTATATGCAGCGAGCCTCTTTGTCATGAGTATGGACTCGAAATAAAGCGTGGCGTGGAAAGACTGTATTCACGTAAAGATTAACAAGCAGCTGCGGATGGTTAAAATTTAATCTCGTTGCAACTATGTGGGTTTCAATCTAAATATAACCGTTTACCGCATAGTCAAAGGCCACCGATCCACGCAATGGGCACGAGACAATCCTCCCCTCACCTTTCACACAGAAAAGACGTCAAATCTAAAATTAAATCCCACTTATTTAAAGCCCGCCACTTAGCCACCTTCCCGAACGTACAAAAACTAAAAATATCGTCGACCATTGTGTCACGCTCAAAGAAGTTCCATAGGTCACGGAGAACGCATGAGCGTGTACCACGTGTCAGGAACACGCCAAACGTTTTTTATCTTTGGAAAAATTATAAAAGACCGCTCCTAACAATGGGGCTTCGGTAGCATCTTTGACAATTATAATATCAGAGGTGCCCGTTACTAAAACCCCACTAGCGCCAAGGAACTGTCCTTCGATATTAAGCTTTAAATAAATACTGTGACTGCTGAATATTCAATGACCATCTCACAAAACACGAGCTCCTTTGTTAATAACAACGTGATGGTTAACATAAGGGTCATCACAAAAGCCAGAAGATAACAATGCGCGCACGTCAATCGTGTGCTCATGCAAATAATTTTTTTCTTCCAAAACATCCCCTTTATCTGTTATGGAGCGATGGGGTTAATTAATATGTACAAAATAATACAATTAAAATTAAGACCCCCTATAACTTGGCACGAGGTCAGATTTAACTGTCACCATTAGAATAATATTCTTATTTGACAATGCGCCACGTTAAGTAGATTTATAGTGAAAATTGTTTTGTTTCCATTTATCAGTTAAATATATATTGTGATATTTTATAACTGTACAGCAGAACCCTTTTATTGAATAAACCTGGCCTGACAGCTCACTCGAAGGGGTTAATATGAACGTTTAGGATAAACTCAATAAGCCGAGACAACTGGTGTTGAGGCAAAGCCTGCAATTGACGTTTGGATGATAGCGCAATCGCATAACGAGGCGATTGGAACAATTTAAACTAGCACTTTCTTCCCCCGAAAACTTTGCAATAACTGTTATCGAAAACGGAATAAAATGGAAGGCAACGAGCGAGTTGTCGTATGGCAGACAAAATATCTGTTAATTTTGCGTTAAATGCAACTTTAGCCAGGCGCATTCCTACAAAGCGGACAACTGAATGCGGGTTGAAAATTTTGAACGGTGCACGATTTTCGGGTTTAAGGAGGCTTTTGTTGTGCAACGGTTTAATACAAAAGTGTCAAATGACGGCACATCTGCTCTCACAAAGGGTTACGCGCTCGGATAGATTATTTTTCGAACCACCCCCGCAAGATTGTACTCGTATACAGATGTTCCAAGTTCCTTTTTAGGTTTTATACAGTGCTGCTTCAATATTATAAAACTCATGTCATAATAATCATAATAATTATTTACTGTTTCTTACTCGTGTATAATTTTTTTATACTTAACTGACATATACTGACAAGAAGAAAATTAGTTCAGTTCAAATTAGTGTTTTTTGTTTTTTAAATCAAATTAAATTTGTTAAAGCTATGTACCCGTAGAATACCTCCTTTCTGTTGTAATGTTGGACCACAATTAAGGTAGAACACGAAAAGGTAGGAATTATTGAAACACGCCGTATCGAATGTGCCTTTGTGCAGTGACGGGATTAGGCTCCAATCCCAAATATATGGACGCGGGATGACGTAAGCATTCCATGAACGTCCAGCATTGCTATTGTGCAACATCTTGCGCGATGTAGGACAAAGGAAACGGAGCGTGACGATAAAATTGTCTCCGAAGCCCGAAATCTTTTCTCGCTGTCACCCAGATCGCGGGAGTCATTAATAAATTACTAAATACACTTTGCAATGATGCGACGTTTTTACAGGAACCGCCTCTTTGTCCTTTACTTAACGTTAATTTAATGTTCATGTGTACGAATGTATATGTGACATTTTCATAATGGTTGTGACGGAACCATAGCTTTAAATAAATCACTACTTAGTATAAAACAAGTCGTAGATCTTTAAAACTACGCAACGGATCTTGATGGGGTTTTTTTACTAGATAGAGTGATTCAAGAGGAAGGTTTATATGTATAATACATTGCACCAGTGCGAAGCCGGAGCGGTTCGCTAGTTAAGTGATAAAGTAATAATATATTATTACGTATTCCTTTTAATAAGTGGTACAACAGTCTCGAATTTTACTTGATAACAAAGATGACTTACCGCTATGCATTGTATTAGATTCTGCATCAGCTACTTCTGTCCTTGACTTCTTTTGGTCCTCAAGGGAGCCTGAAGTGTCCATGTGCTCCTGTTTGATTTTTGGTTTTATGTCTTCATCTGGCGAACTTGAAGGCATTGGCGAAGTCGATGCTCTTCTTTTCGGTGTTGAAGCCCCCGCGTCAGCTTCTAGATGCAGAAAATTGCCATTTAAGTCAATAATTATCACTCCTGTATAAAAATAAATAAAAGAAATGTTTTAGATCATTTATATGCATTAAGATTGAATTTGAATGACTGTGTTTTTTATATTTAAAGAGAAACAATTTAAAATAATTAAGATTTTTTTTAAATATACCATTTTATGAATAACTTATATGACGGCAAGTTTATTAATACTTAAAGAGAATTAAACGTGCAAGTGTTGATCGTGTATTATTATTTAAAGATTCAAGTCAATTATTATCTTATGTTATCTTCACTCTTAGATTATTTTGACTCGTATTAGAAAAATATTGATTACTTTTAGGGAACAAAAAATTTTATTAACATCCTTTCAACATATGTGGCGTTTTTCTGTCATTTTCGATTCAAGCAAACATTATCATTATTTTTAGTACTGTGAATATTGATCTTAATTACCATCCAGCAATCGCTTCGGTGTGCTAGAAGCTCCACCGTCTTCGAGTAGATCAGGCGGCGCTATTGATGGGCTAGCAAGAGGCGGTGTATGTACTCTGCTGTTCGGTGGCCTCCTGGCCGTAAGGAGAGAGGGCCTCCGTCCACTCGAGTTCGCAGTGGCCACTTGGCCTGACCTTGAGCCATCCTCTTGATCAGAGTTAGGTCCTACGAGCATAAATATTTTTTCTTAGAATTGACACTTCCGTAGTTGCCTTCATTTTGTTTGTCGTTCAGTTTGAGGAAATGTTAAGGTACTGGTGCAACTATTACAAGGTGTACTTTATATTTGCAGTGATAGCTTAGTAGCTTAGTAACTCGACTCAAAGTCAGAAGAGGTGGGTTTACAACCCAGTGGCGAGTACGACCTTTAAGCTCTTCTGGTTTCCACACACACGGTACAAGTGTGCGAACACGATTTACGTAAGTGTTTCTACGGTCAAGTGACCGTAAAAACTATTTCGCCGTTTCCGTGCTTACCGGCGCTATAGCAGTGGTACGAAGTCAAGTCCTTATCGCAGGACGAGACCTTGTGCTGGATGAAACGCACAATGTCCGCTAGGGCGAAGGCTCGCCGGCAAGCGCCGCAGGTGAGAGTGTCGGCGGGCACGCCCGGAGTGGGCGACCCTCCCCCCTCCGCCGCGCTGTCCGCATCCGCTGTTGGCAAAGGGAGACTTTAATCGCAGCAAGTATCTGTCAATCTGAGCGAACGTACCGAAGGCACCGTAACAGTTGGCTTGCAATTACTCTGGGGCTTACAACAATTTGTAGAGACACAAGCAAACGGAAAAGCGACACACTGCCAAACCCGATATAACAGAACAAACCAAAGGTAAGTATTCTCTTTTTTATTCAGCCTCTGCAATCGTTACGAGTGTAAATTTTATTGTAGATGAAAGAATTTGGTTGAATGACAACCTGTTGGACATATTTAGAAACGGCATATGGTCAGTGACAGTTCCTTAAAATGTTTTAAGTGTGAAATTACATTTAATAATGTGTTGTTCCAGTCACGGTCTTCTGAAATAAGGTGTCAGTTGTAAGATTGACCACTTATCCTTCAATGGACAAAAGGGATAATGAGTACGTTTCGCTTGCGGTCCGCGTTTCTGAAAGGGGTATTATATTTGTTGTGACAGGAAAGTTGATCCTCACAAGGCAGATGCTACATTTACTTCAACTTAATGCTAATTGTCGGGTGTCAAGTTATTATGTTACGTTACTTAAGCCGTTTGTCCGGTATCAATATCATTATTAAACATTTTTAAATGTCGTGTAGTCATTCTTAACTAAGGGGATCGGGAGTCATATAATTAACTTATTTTAATCATTGTTTGAATCTAACACTGAGAACTGATTGAATTTTTATTTATTTTGTGTCATGATAAACGAGTAAAAGCACTATTATAGGTAACTAAAACAATATATTAACGTTTGTCAAGTTTTTTAGTAGTTCGCCAATTGTCAAATATTTATGAAATATATTCATTACTAAGTGATTAACATGTATCTCATGAAAGTTTCTGTTCAAGACGCGTCCATTTCAACAAATTTAGGTTAAGCATGAGATATAGTTAAGCATGAGATCAAGTTTTATTATTAAGTGAACTTAGTATTTCATCCATATTAGTAGTATAAGTAATGTTTTAAACAATGGTAAAAATGCTGAACTACTGTTATAAATTGTGCATACATAGAAAAAGACACTGAAAGACTGCATTTACAGAGTACTTAGGAGTAAAGGGATAGTAATAACGATAAAATAAATGACGATTGAAACACAACAACACGCCGTATAAATAAACAATATCCCATTTTGCAATACCACATTTGGTTGCCGCCATCGCATTAACGGAGGACCTCGCATTAAGCGTCAATACATCAATTACATAAGCACATAGGGGCCACATGCGTTTTTTAATTACCTAATAAATAAGGCGGCGCGACACCGCCATCGCCTGAGAATTATAAAGGCGCTTTCATGCCCGAGCCGGGCACAATTGGTCGGCACATCAAAGCCGTTCGCGAGCTAATTTCACATAAGCACGGCGCAGACGCCCTTACTCGCCGTCCTCACTTATTATTATTATTCCTTCCCTCGCGTTTCTTTGTGGAAGAAAGTAGGCCGTGCTTACGGGGCAGGGGTGATTTGAAACCGGAGTACAAAATTAATATCGCGGTGGAAAAACGCGCGATCCGAACGCCCCGCGTACGTTGTCACACTCGGTTTGTTCAGAGGGTTTATTATGTAAATGGGAGTCGCTATTGACGTATTTTTTACGGATCTGTTTAAACGGCCCGGCTCGTGGCAAATGGTTACGTTCCTTCCTTCCTTGTTTGATAGTTTGTCACGTGATGTTTGTTTAGTGAACGCTGTTAAGGTCGCGTGCTAGTGTTTGATGTCATTACCGTCCTGTCAGTAGAACAGTGCAATTTAATTTGTTGTAAGGAACTCCGTACACTTTATAATTATTACATTACAGTGATCAGTAGAAACAACCCGCGTCAAAAGTAAGTAAGTTTAGACACTGAAAACGAATGCAATTCATCGCAATAACAGCAACTAAGTTTACAAATAGTACAAATAATGGAATATTTTCTTCTTCTTTCTCCAATGTTTATCCCACACTAGGTAGGGTCGGCACAACGTGTCCTTGCTTCCACTTTCGTCTATCTGCCGTCATCTCAATACTGACCCCTTTCACAGACATCATTGTTCACACAGTCCATCCAAATCTTTTTTTCAATACATTTTATATATAAAGATAAAGGAACATGAATGAATTCTTAATGTCTCCCAAGTTATAATTCTATAGTAGCACGTGCACTAACTTTAAAGAATAAAGGTGAAATTCAATACAACTTAACGTGGTGCGGTGGCTTATCACGATATCGTGCTCTAATTCTCGGGTAGCCACTCCCACTGGCACGCGACTGGACAGTGGTCAGCTCACACATGCGCCCTTCGGACGTAATACACCCACGAACTTTATCCGTGAGACCGGTGATTTATCGGCGTTCGATACGCCATTGGGATATACACCAACCAACTTGCTTTCCTGTTTCCGGTAGACAATCTTAGGGAAAGTTACATTGGTTTTCCCGTTAAAATTTAGGGTACAATTTCGATGTAAAGTATTAAGTAGGCTTTTAAATAACAGGTTACAATTCGTTATAAAAGTTAACCAGCTGATATATTTAGCTGCTCCGAAAACGTCAGCTTTTAAGCTCTCTCTTCAGACTCAATATGCAAATATTGATATTTCTAACCAGTCTTATTTTTATTTAAATAAGTAGGTATTTTATATTGAGACTGATTAAAAAAGCAAGGTTTTACTTGGTTTAATATTAGCTATTCATGCGCAGGCGTTCCGGAAGTCGTGGGTTCGATTCCCCAAGCGGTGAAACACTTTACGCCCATTTTTTATACAATTTTATGTTATCTAGTTATTAATGTTTCAGCTTAAGGCAGAGATTAGCATTATTGGAATTTATAATCCAAATAGCATTACATTTCTCGTTTCGATATTCGTTGTTTGTGTGCTCTAAAGGACATTAACAATAGACGTGCGTTGCTTAAAATGCGAAAAATCAGTGTAGACAAAATACTTTGAGATATTCGTCAGTGTGGCAATCAGCTATTTAGCTTAGTGGTTAAAGCGACGGGGTACGAATATGTAGATTCGGATCCCACAGAGGCGTAAAACTTTTCAAACATTTTTTTTTAAATTTTTTAATTGTAGATTAAATAATAATGCAATAAAATCGTTTTATTTAAATTGTTGATAGTAAACGTTGTTCTAGGCTCAGTGTTTTAAACAATTTCATTTCTTTACTCAGATCGCCAATAATTCTAAAGTTTCAGTCGGGGTCAACAAGAGTGAGTCTATTCATTTCCTGCTTCTTACACGTTAAAATCTTAACTGAAATAAAATTAAATCATTAAACCTTGACAAAATTTTCGATTGTTCAATTATGTTTTATTTATTTCTTTCAAATTTAGATAGTTGTAAGGGAATATTTTTTTTCTAAAACTATCTCAACTTAAGTACGGAGTGACCTCATTTGGGTAGTTTATGACGTTAATTTCAATTGCTAGACTGATAATATAATAAAAATCGATGTGTGTGATCTGTACAGACTCCAAAGCAGCTGGACTTATTTTCATGAAATTTTCAGACAATCTTCAAATTAGCCCAGCGAGAGACCTTGGGAAGTTTGGTGGCGGTAAGACAAACAGTAGGTAGTTTTTTTTTAGGTATAATTGGCGCTGCTAAGAAATCATAAATCATGAAAATATCACCGTCAGTTCTACTAAACACTAACCGAGTGTTAGTGTTAGTGGAGTGATACGTTCCTATACTTTTAGTTTACCGCTGATTTACTGTAAGCGTAGCTGCGGGGACAGCAACGCCTCAGGTGTGGGGGGACCCGCGCGTCTATCGAGCCGAAAAGTTTAAATTAGCTCGTTACGGCACACGTCGTCGGCGGCGGGACATTGTTTTTTCGCAAAAGGTCACCTCGGTCCAACTTGCGTTTCACGAGCCCGAGTCAACCGTCGTCGGCATAAATTATTAATTACAACGCGTCCCAACTAGAAGCCGATCCGGACAGTGTTAATTTGCGAAACGCTCGTCGAATTCACAAGGATTGCAACGTGAAACGTTCAAGTTCCGTTGTAAACGCTTTTTGTATAGCGAAACGAAACCGGGCATGTTTTAAATGAATTCAGTTATACTCGTTTTTAGCGTTGTTTAAGAAAATCTGTTTTAGATAAAGGATAACAAAGAAGATAAATACAAGGAGTGGTAAGTCCAATAGCTATACATACATAACAAAGATGAAGAAGAATTAAGCACCGCTTAATTATTTCCGTCTTTGGTAAATAATCTAATTTGGTTTAAACGTACTCGCTTGCTTCTTTTAAAAGATTTAAAATGTTTCATTGACCATTGTACCACTTACATGAATATAAGCGTTTGTAAATATAAAGCAAAACAAATCATAATACGTATGATTTTTACCCACCGGGCCCATTTATTCTTTGTTATCTGACACATTTAAATTTGTGCCGTGTTATGTATTTTATATTCATAAAACATTGGAAAATTTAGAACGAAACAATTACTTGTAGTATTAATATAAATTTAACTAAAGCTTCACAAATAAGGCTTGTAATAATTGGTAGGCATTTTAAATCTTGGACGTATAAATGTTACTCGAAATTTAATATTCATTTAATATCAAATCGTCCTGATAGTATATGATTCAGTCCTGTCTGTATACATCTTAATAGTTCTCTGAGTAATTGGATATAGAAGATACAAACGTTGTTTTCATTTTTTTAATGACCAGTTTTTGTGTTTATTAACTTATTATTAATATTAACATAATATTTAGAAACATCATTTTATTGCATAACAGAAACTAAATATGATTAACAAACATGGAAATATTTTTATCGCAAATTTAATACACAAAGCAAGTTATATTCGGTTTGGAATCAACAAATTGATGCGAACGAACAGAGCAGTTGCACAGAATCGCGTTCTGCTACACAAAAAAAATTGCCTTTGTGTGGCTCTCTAAAAGATTGATCACTGACCTATCCGTAATATGACGAACGTGGAACAAAATTTCATTCAACTTTGACGCGG